TCGAGACCCCCCCGCACCCTATAGGGCACTCTACACCCCATAGGGACACCCAGACCCCATAGAGACCCACACACACCCTATAGGGCACCCTACACCCCATAGGGACCCCATATCCCATAGGGACCCCATAAAGAACCCACACACCCTATAAGGGGTCCCCATAGAGACCCCCTACACCCTATAGGGGACCCCCATAGGATAACCCCTCCGCCGGGGGGCGCTCACCGTTTGCCGGTGGAGGACAGACGGACGAAGACCTGACAGGCGTCCGGTACCACCCGCTGGATGAAAACCTGCTGCTCGTCCCGCTCCCCGAAGGGTCCTACGGGGGGAGGGGGGGGAAAATAAACACCCGGAAAAGGGGAAAAATCATCCCATTTTCTGCCCCCAAGAAATGATCCTCCCTGGGAAGGGTTTTCCCCCAAAAAGATGGGGCCCGGGAAGAGTTTTCGCAAGAAAAGATGGTGCCTCGGAAGGATTTTCTTATCCCATGGGGGGGCACATCGAGACCCCCCCGCACCCTATAGGGCACCCTACACCCCATAGGGACCCCTACACCCCATAGAGGACCCCATAGAGACCCCCATGCCCTATAGGGACCCCATATCCCATAGGAGACCCCCACAGCCCATAGGGGACCCCTTATATCCCATAGGGGTCCCCATAGAGACCCCCTACACCCTATAGGGGACCCCCATAGGATAACCCCTCCGCCGGGGGGCGCTCACCGTTTGCCGGTGGAGGACAGACGGACGAAGACCTGACAGGCGTCCGGTACCACCCGCTGGATGAAAACCTGCTGCTCGTCCCGCTCCCCGAAGGGTCCTACGGGGGGAGGGGGGGGAAAATAAACACCCGGAAAAGGGGAAAAATCATCCCATTTTCTGCCCCCAAGAAATGATCCTCCCTGGGAAGGGTTTTCCCCCAAAAAGATGGGGCCCGGGAAGAGTTTTCGCAAGAAAAGATGGTGCCTCAGAAGGATTTTCTGAAGAAAGATGGTCCTTGGGGAGGTTATTCCCAATAAAACTTCATTTCTGGGAAGGTTTTCCCAAAAAGGATTGATCCAGGGAAGGATTTTCCCAAAAAAGATGGTGCCTGGGAAGAGTTTTCCCAAGAAAAGATCATCCCTGGAAGCATTTTCCCAAAAAAGATCGATCCAGAGAAGGTTTTTCCCAAAAAGATGATCCTTGATGAAGGTTTTTCCCAAGAAAACATCATCCCTGGGAAGGATTTTCCCAAAAAAAATCACTCTTGGGAAGGATTTCCCAAAAAAGATTGATCCAGGGAAGGGTTTTCCCAACAAAGATGGTGCCTGGGAAGGATTTTCCAAAGAAAGATGGTCCTTGGGGAGGTTATTCCCAATAAAACTTCATTTCTGGGAAGGTTTTCCCAAAAAGGATTGATCCAGGGAAGGATTTTCCCAAAAAAGATGGTGCCTGGGAAGAGTTTTCCCAAGAAAAGATCATCCCTGGAAGCATTTTCCCAAAAAAGATCGATCCAGAGAAGGTTTTTCCCAAAAAGATGATCCTTGATGAAGGTTTTTCCCAATAAAACATCATTCCTGGGAAGGTTTTCCCAAAAAAGATTGATCCAGAGAAGGTTCTTCCCAAGAAATGATCATCCCTTGGAAGGTTTTTCCCAAAAAGATGGTGCCTGGGAAGGATTTTCCCCCAAAAAATCGATCCAAAGAAGGTTTTTCCCCCAAAAAGATGGTGCCTGGGAAGAGTTTACTCAAGAAAAGATCATCCCTGGAAGCATTTTCCCAAAAAAGATCGATCCAGAGAAGGTTTTTTCCCAAAAACATGGGCCTTGATGAAGGTTTTTCCCAAGAAAACATCATCCCTGGGAAGAATTTTCCCAAAAAAGATGGTGCCTGGGAAGAGTTTTCTCAAGAAAAGATGGTGCCTGGTAAGGATTTTCCAAAGAAAGATGGTCCTTGGGGAGGTTATTCCCAATAAAACATCATTCCTGGGAAGGTTTTCCCAAAAAAGATTGTTCCTGGGAAGAGTTTTCCCAAGAAAAGATGATTCCTGGGAAGGATTTTCCCAAGAAAACATCACTCCAAGGAAGGTTTTTCCCAAAAAAGATGGAGCTTGGGAAGAGTTTTCTCAAGAAAAAATGGTGCCTGGAAAGAGTTTACCCAAGAAAAGATCATCCCTGGAAGCATTTTCCCAAAAAAGATCGATCCAGAGAAGGTTTTTCCCAAAAAGATGATCCTTGATGAAGGTTTTTCCCAAGAAAACATCATCCCTGGGAAGGATTTTCCCAAAAAAAATCACTCTTGGGAAGGATTTCCCAAAAAAGATTGATCCAGGGAAGGGTTTTCCCAACAAAGATGGTGCCTGGGAAGGATTTTCCAAAGAAAGATGGTCCTTGGGGAAGGTTATTCCCAATAAAACATCATTCCTGGGAAGGTTTTCACCAAAAAAATCGATCCAAAGAAGGTTCTTCCCAAGAAATGATCATCCCTGGGAAGGTTTTTCCCAAGAAAGATGGTCCCTGGAAAGGTTTTTTTCCTCAAAAAATCAATCCAGAGAAGGTTCTTCCCAAGAAATGATCATCCCTGGGAAGGTTTTTCCCAAGAAAGATGGTCCCTGGAAAGGTTTTTTTCCTCAAAAAATCAATCCAGAGAAGGTTCTTCCCAAGAAATGATCATCCCTGGGAAGGTTTTTCCCAAGAAAGATGGTCCCTGGAAAGGTTTTTTTCCTCAAAAAATCAATCCAGAGAAGGTTCTTCCCAAGAAATGATCATCCCTGGGAAGGTTTTTCCCAAGAAAGATGGTCCCTGGAAAGGTTTTTTTCCTCAAAAAATCAATCCAGAGAAGGTTCTTCCCAAGAAAAGATGGAGCCTGGGAAGAGTTTTCCCAAGAAAGATGGTGCCTGGGAAGGATATTCCCAAGAAAACATCACTCCAAGGAAGGTTTTTCCCAAAAAAGATGGTGCCTGGGAAGAGTTTTCTCAAGAAAAGATCGTCCCTGGAAGCATTTTCCCCAAAAAGCTTGATCCAGAGAAGGTTTTTCCCAAAAAGATGGTCCTTGATGAAGGTTTTTCCCAAGAAAACATCATCCCTGGGAAGGATTTTCCCCAAAAAAATCACTCTTGGGAAGGATTTCCCAAAAAAGATTGATCCAGGGAAGGGTTTTCCAAAGAAAGATGGTCCTTGGGAAGGTTATTCCCAATTAAAACATCATTCCTGGGAAGGTTTTCACAAAAAAAATCGATCCAGAGAAGGTTCTTCCCAAGAAATGATCATCCCTGGGAAGGTTTTTCCCAAAAAAGATGGTGCTTGGGAAGAGTTTTGGAAAGGTTTTTTTCCTCAAAAAATCAATCCAGAGAAGGTTCTTCCCAAGAAAAGATGGAGCCTGGGAAGAGTTTTCCCAAGAAAGATGGTGCCTGGGAAGGATATTCCCAAGAAAACATCACTCCAAGGAAGGTTTTTCCCAAAAAAGATGGTGCCTGGGAAGAGTTTTCTCAAGAAAAGATCGTCCCTGGAAGCATTTTCCCCAAAAAGCTTGATCCAGAGAAGGTTTTTCCCAAAAAGATGGTCCTTGATGAAGGTTTTTCCCAAGAAAACATCATCCCTGGGAAGGATTTTCCCCAAAAAAATCACTCTTGGGAAGGATTTCCCAAAAAAGATTGATCCAGGGAAGGGTTTTCCAAAGAAAGATGGTCCTTGGGAAGGTTATTCCCAATTAAAACATCATTCCTGGGAAGGTTTTCACAAAAAAAATCGATCCAGAGAAGGTTCTTCCCAAGAAATGATCATCCCTGGGAAGGTTTTTCCCAAAAAAGATGGTGCTTGGGAAGAGTTTTCTCAAGAAAAGATCATCCCTGGAAGCATTTTCCAAAAAAAGATCGATCCAGAGAAGGTTTTTCCCAAAAAGATGGTGCCTGGGAAGGATTTTCCCAATAAAACATCATTCCTGGGAAGAATTTTCCCAAAAAAGATGGTGCCTGGGAAGAGTTTACCCAAGAAAAGATCATCCCTGGAAGCATTTTCCCAAAAAAGAGTGATCCAGAGAAGGTTTTTCCCAAAAAAGATGGGGCCCGGGAAGAGTTTTCTCAAGAAAAGATGGTGCCTGGGAAGGATTTTCCGAAGAAAGATGGTCCTTGGGGAGGTTATTCCCAATAAAACATCATTCCTGAGAAGGTTTTCATAAAAAAAATCGATCCAGAGAAGGTTCTTCCCAAGAAATGATCATTTTCCCCTCAAAAGACAGGTTTTTCCCCCCAAAAGATGGGATTTTCCTGCCAAAAGATGGGGGTTTTCTACCAAAAGATGGAATTTTCCCCCCAAAAGATGGGCTTTTCTACCAAAAGATGGGATTTTCCCCCAAAAAATGGGATTTCCCCCCCAAAACTTGGGATTTTCCCTCCAAAAGATGAGTTTTTACCCCCTAAAAATGGGTTTTCTCCCAAAAGATGGGTTTTTCTCATAAAAGATGAGTTTTTCCCCCCCAAAAGATGGGGGTTTTCCCCCCAAAAAATGGGTTTTCCCCCCAAAAGATGGGCTTTTCTCCCAAAAGATGGGTTTTTCTCCCAAAAGATGGGTTTTCCCCCCTCAAAAGATGACTTTTTACCCCCCAAAAATTGTTTTTTCTCTCCAGAAGATGGGTTTTTCCCCCAAAAAAGATGGGTTTTTCTTCCAAAAGTTGGGATTTCCCCCCCAAAAGATGGGTTTTTCCCCCCAAAAGATGGGATTTTCCCCCCAAAGATGGGATTTTCCCCCCAATAATGGGTTTTTCTCCCAAAAGCTGGGTTTTCCCCCCAGAAGATGGGATTTTCCCTCCAAAAGATGGAATTTCCCCCCCAAAAAATGGTTTTTTCCCCCCAAAAGTTGGTTTTTTCTCCCAAAAGATGAGCTTTTTCTTCCAAAAGATGAGTTTTTCTCCCAAAAGATGGGATTTCCCCCCCAAAAGATGGGATTTTTCCCCCAAAAGATGGGTTTTTCTCTCAAAAAATGGGTTTTTCTGTCCAAAAAATGGGATTTTCCCCCCAAAAGATGGGTTTTTCTCCCAAAAGATGGGATTTTCTCTCAAAAAATGGGTTTTTCTGTCCAAAAAATGGGATTTTCCCCCCAAAAGATGGGCTTTTCTCCCAAAAGATGGGTTTTCCCCCCCAAAAGATGGGTTTCTCCCCCACAAAAAATGGGATTTTCCTCAAAAAAATGGGATTGCCCCCCCAAAAGATGGGGTTTCCCCCCCCAAAAATGGGTTTTTCTCCCAAAAGATGGGATTTTCCCCTCTTAAGATGGGATTTTTCCCCCCAAAAGATGGGATTGTCCCCCCAAAAGATGATATTTTCCCCCAAAAAGATGGCTTTTTCTCCCCAAAAGATGGGTTTTTCCCAAAAAAACAGATGCCCCCGCTTCCCCTCCCTCCCAAAATTCCTTATTTTGGTTTTTTTTCATACCGATGTCGGTGCCGACGCCTCCAGAAGCTCCATCCAACTCATCCAAGGCCAAGATCTTGAAGGAGGCCAAGGGGGTGGATCCAGGTTGGGTTGAGATCATCCCCCGGAACCGCGTCACCGTCCAGGTCCGGACGTGGTTGTAGTCGGCGCAAACTGGGGGGGGAAAAAAAAGAATTGGGGAGGAACTGGGATATACTGGGATATACTGGGAAAACGTCCCAACGTCCCACCCCGTCCCCACGCGCACCCGAAATGAGGTGTTTCTCCGACAACATGATCTTGGTGACGGGGCTGCGATGGACGGTGAAGGTTTGGAAGAGTTGGGGGCCGGAACCCACCGTTTCGGGGTGTTGGACGATGACCCGAACCACCCCCGAACTGGTGCCGTAAGCGATCTCGATCCAGTTGCCGCTGTCGCCTAAAAGAAACCACCACATCTTCCCAGTAACAAACTGGGAAAGGTGGGAAGAACCATCTCCCAACACCCTACGAAGCCAGGTGGTGGTGGGTTCTCACTGGGTTTGGGAGTGAGGAAGACTGGGAGGGGTCAAGAACCATCAACCCAAAATGAGGTGGTGGTGGTGGGTTCTTACTGGTTTTGAGGGTGAGGGAGACTGGGAAGGGTGAAGAACCACCACCCCAAAATGAGGTGGTGGTGGGTTCTTACTGGTTTCGGGGGTGAGGAAGACTGGGAGGAGTCAAGAACCATCAACCCAAAACAAGGTGGTGGTGGTGGGTTCTTACTGGTTTTGAGGGTGAGGGAGACTGGGAAGGGTGAAGAACCACCACCCCAAAATGAGGTGGTGGTGGGTTCTCACTGGGTTTGAGGGTGAGGAAGACTGGGAGGGGTGAAGAACCAGCACCCCAAAATGAGGTGGTGGTGGTGATGGTGGGTTCTTGCTGGTTTTGGGAGTGAGGTAGACTGGAAGAACCACCAGTCCAAAATGAGGTGGTGGTGGTGGGTTCTTACTGGTTTTGGGGGTGAGGTAGACTGGGAGGGATGGTGGTCGTGGGTTCTTACTGGTTTTGGGGGTGAAGTAGACGGGGAGGGGTGAAGAACCACCACCCCCACCAAAGCAAGGTGGTGGTGGTGGGTTCTTACTGGTTTTGGGGTGAGGTAGAGTGGGAGGGGTGAAGAACCATCACCCCAAAATGAGGTAGTGGTGGTAATGGTGGGTTCTTACTGGTTTTGGGGGTGAGGTAGACTGGAAGAACCACCACCCCAAAACGGGGTGATGGTGGGTTCTCACTGGTTTTGGGGGTGAGGGAGACTGGGAGGGGTCAAGAACTAGCCCCACCAAAGCATGCTGGTGGTGGTGGGTGGGTTCTTACTGGTTTTGGGAGTGAGGTAGACTGGGAGGGATGGTGGTGGTGGGCTCTCACTGGTTTTGGGGCTGAGGAAGACTGGGAGGGGTGAAGAACCACCACCCCAAAATGAGGTGGTGGTGGGTTCTTACTGGTTTTGGGGGTGAGGAAGACTTGGAGGGGTCAAGAACCAGCCCCACCAAAGCAAGGTAGTGGTGGTGGTGGTGGGTTCTTACTGGTTTTGGGGGTGAGGTAGACTGGGAGGGGTGGTGGTGGTGGGTTCTCAATGGGTTTTGGAGTGAGGTAGACTGGGAGGGATGAAGAACCACCTCCACCAAAGCATGGTGGTGGTGGTGGGTTCTTACTGGTTTTTGGAGTGAGGAAGACTGGGAAGGGTGAACCATCACCCCAAAATGAGGTGGTGGTGGTGGGTTCTTACTGGTTTTGGGAGTAAGGTAGACTGGAAGAACCACCACCCCAAAACGACGTGGTAGTGGTGGGTTCTTACTGGTTTTGAGGGTGAGGAAGACTTGGAGGGGTGAAGAACCACCAGCCCAATATAAGGTGGTGGTGGTGGGTTCTTACTGGTTTTGGGGGTGAGGAAGACTTGGAAGGGTGAAGAACCATCAACCCAAAATGAGGTGGTGGTGGTGGGTTCTTACTGGTTTTTGGAGTGAGGAAGACTGGGAAGGGGTGAAGAACCACCACCCCAAAATGAGGTGGTGGTGGTGGTGGGTTCTCACTGGTTTTGGGGGTGAGGTAGACTGGGAGGGATGGTGGTGGTGGGTTCTTACTGGTTTTGGGGGTGAGGTAGACTGGGAGGGGTCAAGAACCACCACCCCAAAATGAGGTAGTGGTGGTAATGGTGGGTTCTTACTGGTTTTGGGGGTGAGGAAGACTGGGAGGGGTGAAGAAACATCACCCCAAAATGAGGTGGTGGTGGTGGGTTCTCACTGGTTTTGGAGGTGAAGTAGACTGGGAGGGGGACGGCGTCTTCGGTGGGGTCGCGGTAGAGCTCGGTCACCAGGAGGTCGTTGTCCTTCATGCGTAGGGGGAACTTCTGGACATCTAGAAGTTGGGAGGGGACACACACGATGGGGTGAGGGGACATGGTGGCCAACGGGGACATCTCCAGCTTTGGAGGGGGGGTCAGAGGGGGCTTCACCGGGGGCCTCACCCACGTAGTAGATGGACCCGTTGTTGCAACCGAGGAGGAGGAAGGTGCCGGCGGCGTCGTAGCTGTTGATGGGGACGACGTCTTGGATCTACCAGAGGGATGAGAAGGAGGTCGTGAGGGACAATCCGTGGGGACAATCTGTGGGGACAATCCGTGGGGACAATCCCCCCACCCCCATCTCACCTGCCAGTGCTTGGTGACGGCGTTCCAGACGCCGATTTTGCCCGTGTGGCTGGTGGCGATGAGTTGGTTGCCCACGAAGAAGAGGGCTTCCAGCGGCACCCCGAGGTGGAAGACGCCTGGGGGAGGAGAAGGTCCTTGAGGAACCTCCGAAACCCTCGAGGAACCTGCCAGATCCTTCAGGAACCTCCAGGATCCTTGAGGAACCTCCGAGATCTTTCAGGATCCTCTGAGACCTTTGAGGAACCTCCAAGACCTTTGAGGAACCTCTGAGATCCTTGAACCTCCAGGATCCTTGAGGATCCCCTGAGATCCTTGAGGAACCTCCAAGATCCTTGAACCTCCAAGATCCTTGAGGATCCCCCGAGATCCTTGAACCTCCAAGATCCTTGAGGATCCCCTGAGATCCTTGAGGAACCTCCAGGATCCTTGAGGAACCTCCGAGACCTTTCAGGATTCTCTGAGACTTTTGAGGAACCTCCAAGACCTTTGAGGAACCTCCGATATCCTTGAACCTCCAAGATCCTTGAGGATCCCCTGAGATCCTCAAGGAACTTCCAAGACCCTTGAGGAACTTCCAAGACCCTTGAAACTCCAAGATCCTTGAGGATCCCCTGAGATCCTCGAGGAACCTCCGAGATCCTTCAAGACCCTCCAAGATCCTTGAACATCCAAGATCCTTCAGGATCCTCCAAGATCTTTAAGGATCCCCTGACATCCTCGAGGGACCTCCGAGATCCTTCAGGACCCTCCAAGATCCTTGAGGAACCTCTGAGATCCTCAAGGAACCTCTGAGATCCTTGAACCTCTGAGATCCTTCAGGATCCTCCGAGATCCTTCAGGAACCTTGAAGATCCTCGAGGAACCCTGAAGATCCTCAAGGAACCTCTGAGATCCTTGAGGAACCTTGAAGATCCTCAAGGAACCTCTGAGATCCTTGAACCTCTGAGATCCTTCAGGATCCTCCAAGATGCTTCAGGAACCTTGAAGACCTTCAAGGATCCTCCAAGATCCTTGAGGATTCTCTGAGATCCTCGAGGAACCTTGAAGATCCTCAAGGAACCTCTGAGATCCTTGAACCTCTGAGATCCTTCAGGATCCTCCGAGATCCTTCAGGAACCTTGAAGATCCTCGAGGAACCCTGAAGATCCTCAAGGAACCTCTGAGATCCTTGAACCTCTGAGATCCTTCAGGATCCTCCGAGATCCTTCAGGAACCTTGAAGATCCTCAAGGATCCCTGAAGATCCTCAAGGAACCTCTGAGATCCTTGAACCTCTGAGATCCTTCAGGATCCTCTGAGATCCTTCGGGAACCTTGAAAATCTTCAAGGATCCTCCAAGATCCTTGAGGATTCTCTGAGATCCTTGAGGAATCTTGAAGATCCTCAAGGAACTTCTGA